AGTTACCCTCAGCACGCAAATTGCCTGGCTAGTCTCAACACCCATCAAGCACCTTGACATTAATCATGCTGGAAATACAGACATGGGTGTAAGGATCGTGCTCCCTATCAACATGCTGATGAGAATCCAAGCTCCAAAGCACCATGAGTTAACACCTCAAGCAGTTTCATAGCTAAGGAGAGCAAAACTGGAAGGACAGTAACATAAGAAAAAACTTGTGGCCAAGTGTGCCACCAAGAGGCAAAAAAAGCAAAACCGAGCAAGGCAAGGAAGAACAAAAGAGCAGCATCAGCGTGCGAAACCTCTGGGAAGCCCTGGAACGATGAGCAGCGTGGGGTCTGCCTTCCCTACGCAGTCTTCACTTCTTCATCTTTGTCTTCTGGATCATAACTCTGCACAAGGACTGAAATCCCATGTGCAACAAAGTGAGAGGCTTAAAATCTGTGGAACTGTTATTAACGCCAAAATGCAATCAAGAGGGTGAGAAACAGTTCAACAACAGCCAACCCCACGTTTTAAAAATATCCCAGTTGCTATGTAGGAACTGTAGGAGGCGGTCAGCTTTCAAAAAACAGAGCACCCTTTAGCTTAGAAAAAAGGAACTGCTGACAGGTGAACTCAGAAAGTCTGGCTATGCCATGGAAATGCGTAGATGAAGACAAGTTGTGTCTTAAAATTGCTGACTTTTTCTAAGCCTATGGCCCTGTGTTGGCAGTGGCTGCTATGTTGGTTTAAGGGTGATTGCTTTTTCAAACAGAAAAGGGCATTATTTTTCTTTTAAATCTGGTCTACATCAGGCTTTAAGTTTCTTGAGTTGTGCGGTTTATGTGAGAGAATTTAATGCTGTGCGGTTTTTAAAATTCAGGGGGTCTGATCATAGTGGGTGTTATCACAGAGACTTTTTTGTAGGGGAATAAAGTTACTCTGTACACCAAGCAGTGTTAAACTGTCTGAAATCTGAGCGGCATTAGTGAAAGAGTAACGAGCTCACCACTACGCTCAGGTAACACACTGAGAGTGTCAAGAAGGGGAGCTCCTGGTACACTTTCATTTTTCCCCATTCGTGCTTTATCAACGGCAGATGCTTATGGTATTTTCTAAGTTGCAGCAGCAGCCAGGGCTCTTGGGTTTTTCCAGAAGAAAACCCTTTCCTTTCTGTTCTTTCCCCCCCCCCCCTTATCTATTTAAAAGGAAGATTCTCCAAATGCTCTAACTTTTCAGAAGGGGAACTGAGATTCAGAGGGCAAGGGTTATTCAGAATTCAAGGGTTATTTCTCTCTTTCATCTCAGAAATAACCAAACCTGTGCAAGACTCTTCCTGCTGGCTTACTGAAGGCTTCAGAAATAACGCTCAGAAGCAGCAGAAGTGACACTACAGGATTTACGAAGGGGTCTGTGTGCCCTCTGCTGGCATCCGCAGCACAGCTTCAGCCGTTGCTTTCCTTGGACTATGTCTTTTAAGGAAGAAAACTCACTCCTACAGCTATAAAAAGATGGGAAATTTTTTAGATATTCTCTGTTTTGTCTAGAGAGTATTTCTTATCGTTTTTACGAGTATTTAGCTGTTTCTGTGGCCCAATAATCATCCTACATCTCAACAGATTAAGCCTTTTCCTCATCTCCCACTGAATACTTCATTAACTAGGCCAACCCAGGACACAAGGACGTAGAAAGAATATTTATCCACAGAAACAGAATGTTTTGGCAGCACCTCTTGGTTACAGTGGTAAGATAACCCTCTGTCTCAGTTCTCCCTTCAGTCCCCTTTGCACCAGTTAGAAAGAGCTGGAACGACAGTCTTAAACATCCCCTGAAGGACTAATCTTGAAGGGGAAAAGGCTGGAGAGGATAACATTAATTTTAATTTTTGAGGGCATCCTTTCAAACAATGGTGCACGGTATTCAAAAGGCTGTGCTGAGAGCAGACACCACTCATAAATTGAAGCAGCAGAAGTGACACTACAGGATTTACGAAGGGGTCTGTGTGCCCTCTGCTGGCATCCGCAGCACAGCTTCAGCCGTTGCTTTCCTTGGACTATGTCTTTTAAGGAAGAAAACTCACTCCTACAGCTATAAAAAGATGGGAAATTTTTTAGATATTCTCTGTTTTGTCTAGAGAGTATTTCTTATCGTTTTTACGAGTATTTAGCTGTTTCTGTGGCCCAATAATCATCCTACATCTCAACAGATTAAGCCTTTTCCTCATCTCCCACTGAATACTTCATTAACTAGGCCAACCCAGGACACAAGGACGTAGAAAGAATATTTATCCACAGAAACAGAATGTTTTGGCAGCACCTCTTGGTTACAGTGGTAAGATAACCCTCTGTCTCAGTTCTCCCTTCAGTCCCCTTTGCACCAGTTAGAAAGAGCTGGAACGACAGTCTTAAACATCCCCTGAAGGACTAATCTTGAAGGGGAAAAGGCTGGAGAGGATAACATTAATTTTAATTTTTGAGGGCATCCTTTCAAACAATGGTGCACGGTATTCAAAAGGCTGTGCTGAGAGCAGACACCACTCATAAATTAACATAAAGCTCTTTGCAGCCCCTCCTTTGCCCAAGATGATGTCTACAGTTTTACCTTGTGATAGAAGGGAAAAGCACCTGTAGCGTGAGCTGGGAGTAACCGCTGTCTCCCTGACGTTGTAAATAACGTGGAACAACAGACCTGCTTCAGCAACTGCTGTGGGAGCACCGACTTCACAGCGTCCCAGTTCATACAGGAACGCGGTGGGGCTGCTGGACACACGAGGCTCCCGCTTTGGCACAGCCAAAGTTTAAACATACTGGTCAAGCACACAGCGTGGCTCAAGACTTGGTATCAACTGAGTGTTTGAACATTTTTAACGCGAGCAGCTCGACCCACTAACCGTGCAATGCAGATGGACAAAGTCATGCCAGGCTATTCCTCAGAAGTATCAAGAAACAGAGAAAAAAACATCAGCAGGCGTCTGTGATGCAGTTGTGACAATAAGTCACTAAATAAGTAGTTGCTGTTTAAAAATCTGTAACTGGGAGAGCAATGAGGAGGAAGTTAGGACTGCGTAATCTAAAGAGAGGTACAGTCGAGACTACACAGGGTAATTTCATGCAACAATTGTTGCACAGCATTGCTTCTTTTCTGCTTCAGATCTTCAGGTATGAAAATACAGAGATTTCCATTGGCACACAGTAATAAAATAATTCTTTTTATCAAGTAAGGCTTGTACCTGGTCTTCACTTGTTAAGCCAAGGTGCATCACAAAATAAAAATGAACCAGGAAATCAGAATTTGGCAGAACATCTTGACGCCTAGTCATCATAGCGCAGATCAGCCTGTACGCCTGAAGTTTGCCTTCCTTATATTCATTTGGCAGGGTGGTTGCCTGAAAAAGAGCAAAAACCTTGTATTATTACTTTTTTCCTAGCAGCCAGCTAATGCAAAACTGTATCTTCAGCAGATTTTCCATAAAACAAATCTGTTCCGTGTTTTTATTAAAGTAGATTTGAGTCCAAATAGCCTTTGGAGGGTATTAATCTTAGCCAGCAGCGATTGTAAAAAATAAAAATAACACCACTTAAACATGCACAAATTCAGTACTGATATAGCAAAAATACTAATGCGTGAAAATTTTAGCAATAACTTACCTTGAACAACCATGACGCAAATATTCTGAGAGGAGGAATTAAGGCAGGAGGAGAGGGAGTAGACTGGTTGTCCACACTTATAGCAAGGTTGTCTCGTATCTGACATTTTTAAAAGAAGAGCGTTAATAAAACTGATAGCTTACTTTATTAATGCTCTTTATTTCATACTAATACTTTTTTGTTTTATTTTATTAACTTTAAATGCACTACGCCCTGTGCCATACAGAGTTCCTACTTTAGCCAGAACTACCGGGAAAGCTTGTTCTATAGCACTCCCCCCCACCACCTAAGCAAACATTACCATTTTTGGTCATACCAGGGGCTTTTACACTCAATACCAACATTGGCAGTGTTCTGTTCTACGCTTCTGTCTCATGCTTATGTTCCAGATGCTAATACTAAATAAAATGTAATAATAATAATTACAACAAAAGAAAAATCATTATCATTAGATGTAAGCATCATATACAGTACCTTTGCAAGTTTATACCACAACTCATAAAGATACCCAAAAACTTTTGCATGAATTTTAGGCGACTGTATATTGTTCACATCTCCAAGAATTCCCAAGATCCTCCTCCATAACACAGCAGCAGAATCGGGATGCCAACCAATAAGGCTTCCACCGGCAATTATACTGCAGTCATCAGCAAGGAATTCACTACTGTCTGTAAATTAAAAAATGTTCAATTTCCGTGAGTTAGAAATGCAGAGTACAGTATAAATCTGGTCAATAAAATAGGAACATTCTCACTGTCTTCCTTCTCCAAAGCATTCTCTCCCACCAAATCATCTCTCTCTTTCATTGCTCAAGCTAGCACACAATTCAGAGAAAAGAATGGCAGAAGACATAGGCTAAAGGGCTTCCACATGGAGATGACACAGCTATAGATCAGTTTTATATTGGACAGACTGCCCCCACTCAAGGGTTGGGCTGTTTCTTTTTCAGGGAGGCAAATGCAGTTAATAGAACATTCACGTACTCAGAGAGATTTATTCAATCAATAACCGGCTTTTACAGGTAGTATTTCTATTGCTAAGAGTCCTTTCTTTTTTAAGATAGCGCAGCATAAAACGACCTGGAAATTGAACTGAAGAAAGGAACCAAGAGGTATGCAGTACTGCTGATGAAGAATACGCTCAGGCATTATCATGTTATAAAGAGGCAGTTCCTGAGACAGCAGTATGCAAACTGAGAAGGAAAGCAGGGGTTTGTGAGGACTGCCAGGATAACGGAATTAATGGGCTTAAACTGTAAGAGAAAAATTCCATATTGAAGTGCAAATTTTAATGACAAGAGTTGCTACACTATATTCTATCAGACCAGGGAAAGCTGAGCAGCAGCCTGTCTGCAGGCAGAATCCTGCATGGTCCAACATGGCACCCTGCGGTGCTCAGCAGCCAAGGTGCAAGCTGAGGGAAATAATTTGTGTCCTCCCAGAACTCAAAGGCAGCTAGAAAAATAAAAGCCATTTTAGATGGGTTTATGTTTGCTTGAATTTGTTTTTTAAAAAAACTTTTGGGTTGTTTTTTTTTTTTTTCTTTTTTGTTCTGTTTGTTGTAGCATTATGAATTCCCAAAGTGTTAAAACAGATGTTATTTAGTAAGCACATCAGAATGATCTTCAACAGATCTAGCTAGAAGTTATTGTAAAAATAACCAGTTATTTCCTAACATTCCTAATCTATAGCAAGAAATTTCTTTAGACCATTCTGCCATGAAATAAAACCTATTAACTTCAAATATAAATTAAAGGAATTTATTTTACTTGAACCCCGGGGCAGGCTAAGAGAGCACAAGTGACCAACTATCACATCTCAGTTGAAAAGTAGTCATTTGACACAGTAAGCAACCCAATTATTTTCAACTGCATGATCATTTTCTGGACCACAATTTATTGGCCCCTATGTCAGCTTCAATCTTACTACCCAAATTCCTTAAACTCTGGGCATTCAAATCTCATTTCTGAACAAACACTATGAACGAAACGTGGTGACATATGTCAAACGAAACATGCTTTTTACACGCAAATACAGTATAAACGGTATAAACTCCTTTTGGAGATAGAAATCTAAAATAGTGAATACATTTTCTGGACTGCAGTACCTGTTAAATTCGCAGTATCTGAAGGACTAAGCTGAAGCCAGCGAGGTGCGTCGGGATCCACACAAACATCTGCTGATGCATGAGCTTCATGGTCATCTTCAGAGGCTTGCCAGGGGATAAGTGCAATCTCTACTTCATTATTATAGCCAATGGACGTGTCACTGCTAACGCTTTCACCTAAAGCAAGAAGGTGATTAATAAAGATCACAAAGCCTGTTTTTAAAGGCTGCATTAGCAAAGGATGATGAGAAAAGCATCTAATATATCTGTAACAAGTCAAAATTATGACACTGATTTCAACTGCTACGTTTAAGAGAAATAGCATATTTCCTGGAACTCACTTTTTTCTCTCTCTCTATAGTTCCCATGTGATTGCTGCAAGTCTGCTTTCAAATCTAATTCAGCGGTGCTGCTGCTTCTTTGTACTAGCACCTTCAGAGAAAAAAATATTCATCTCAGTTTGTTAGTTTTGAGACCTACACTATATTTTAGCAAACTCGAGAGACGCATGCAGTTATCAGAAATTAATTACAACTCAGTCAAGCTATTTTCATAAATATTTAGACTACCCAAATATCTCTAAGTGTCTTAAGGAAGCCATCACGCTTTCAATTTCGTTTATTACCCTCCCTTTCCTAAACTCCGTTTTCATGCCAACAAGCAGGACTTTTTACTTATGTTTTTCCACAAATCTGAAATCATTCAGTACTTTTAAAAGTATAAAAAAAATCCTTCAGGAAGAAATTAGTAGTCATCTCTTCTGTCGGGGCATTACTCTGTTGCAAAACAACCCACGCAAAGACACCTGATCCTCTGTTTGCCGCCTCCTCCTCCTTCACCAAATGGATTTATAGCCTACGTGCTGAAAACCCTTCAGATAATTTTCTGCTTCCAGATGACACTGCTCTGTCCCTAAGCAAAGTTATTTTTCTTTATGCCTGGCAGATCACCTTCAAATTCACGTTTCTTGCAACTCCATGTCACCTATAATAGCAAAACTTAATTTATGCCAGAAAAATAAGCATCATGTTTTCCATTGCAAATATGCAACAGCCATCCCAACGCCTTACCCCCAGGAGCATACAAGATGTAATTGCTGAGGGGATCTCTACTCTACAATTCCTCAGCTCAGTTAACATTTCCGAAATGCCACTTGGATAGTTGCAACTATTAGTATCGCTGGTCTTAAATACATTTCTTGAAGCAATTTCTGATCCACTGGCCAGACATTAATCCACTCATTCTTTCTGCATGTTTCAGAGAAAGCAAGGTATTGCCACCAAAGAAACAACCGGCTTGTAGAAATTATTATTATATTATCTAGCATTGTTGCTTTTTTTTTTTTTAAACTAGAGAGAATTGCCAATTATTCCCAAGAAAACCATGTTTGCTTGCGCTGCGTGACAGACTGCAGAATGGTCTTACTTCCCCAGCAAATCTGGCTCTTGGTGATCAGCGACGACCATATTTCAGTAGGTACTGATATGAAGTCAAAGCAGTTCACATGGCACATGAGCAGGTTGCGCAGTGAATATATGGTCAAACCCCAGCTTTCCACTTGCAAAAAGGGTGAAAGTGCAACACTGGTAACAGCCCGGCACCATATGCTTGTGAATATTTTATAACACATGCCGCTAAAATGGAACGGGGAGCCAGGTTAATTTTTAATTCCCCCAACTACTGATCTTACTTCCCTCCCTCTCCCCTGCCCTCCACCACGCAAAGCGGCCTAGGTTCTCCTTCCTTTTTGAGACACTCTGTTACTCCTGAAGCGCTTAGCAACAGCGCTATGATTCTACGATTCACTCTGCAGAAAATCTCGTCTCTCCCTTCTAGAGCTGTTAGTGGTACTTTAAGTCTAGAGATATGGGAGAGGCATGGTCCAAAAGGAAGATTCAGCTTGAAGTCCTCCATGCTATATTGCATTATACTTCCTCAAAGATGATCAGCCTCAGTCATTTATTATTTCTAACGTTTATTCAAAAGTTGCATTAAAAATTTACAAAGCTTGCCTGTCCTAATGTTAACTTACACAAACATCTGCAGTACATAGCTGCTGATGCAAACTGTGCTGAAGGAAAGCATTTTCCCCAGCACTTTATACCATCAAACATTTATTCCAGGGTACTGCAGCTCTGTAACACCCATCAATTATTTATATTTAAAAAGTTATGACCTTCTTGTTGATGTCTAGTATAAAAAAAGCACAAAAGCCTTGTGTAAGATTAGAATATAGCCAATTATATGAAACTGCATGAGCGACTGACAGGATCAGGAGACGCGGAATGACCATACCAAAGAGCATAATGAACAGCCACAGCTCAATTCCAGATTCCATACCAGAAATGGGATTCATGATTTTTCACAATTCCAGTTGCTAGAGTTCCTAAATACTAAAAGGCATCTGATTAGAAATAAAATAGTTAGAATCTTATCAATAATCACTTTCTATTTTGCCTTACTTGCTCAGCTTCATGTTCCTTCTTTGTATGTCCCTTAGTTTCCTGAACTGATTTGGAGTCTGAAGAAGTTAAATTATGAGAACTCCCAGCCTTTTTACCTAGAAGTTTTAGAAAGTAAACAAGAAATATAGACATTTGTGGGACCAAAGCACATAGCAAGGGGTTTTTTTATATATATAATATATAATTTCAGTTACGTTTACATGTACACTTCTATTTACAGCTCAGTGAAGTAACACACCGTTAAAATGGAATACATGATGTTCTGAAAAATCCTTCATAAGTGTAACATACTTACACGATAGGAATGGAAGTAGAACTGTTAGGTTTAACAGACAAAATTTACGTGCAAGCCAGATTAAAAAACAAAAGCTGAAGATTTACATACAAAATGCATATATTCAAAGGTTTTATTTTTAACCACTCTGGCTTTATAAAAGGTCACGTCCTGCATTCGTGGTCTGTAACTTCTTAAAAACAGTTCTTTCAACACAATACCAACACTGTGTTTACTAAGACAAAAACCATGTTAGAACACACCTGGAAACCAAAGCAGCATTTAGGAGGCTGAACAAGCCTCAACACTTCTCGTTCACAAGAACAGTATTGCTATATTTTATCAAAATTACCTTGAAAAAAGTCAGGTGGGAACTGCTCTGTAATATCTGAAGTGCTACTGCTTCGAGTTAGGTGCTGCTCTTGGTCTGCAAACAGGCCCACAGATTCTGTTCCTGTTGAATTTTCCAGCTGTTGAGATTCTTCAACTTCTGTTGATTTAATTAAAACACACCATATTTGCATGACCTCAGAACTACATGCACATGTGAACCCCTCCCCTAAGAAAGCTGTATGAAAAGGCGACCCATTCAAGTATTTAACAGTCCCAAGTTACAAACTGGAATGTGACTCCTAGTTACAGGAGTAACAATTTAAGATTTAGAAAATACCCTTAGAAAAACTGTAAAGTTGAGAGAGAGATGTATGAGCAGTGTAAGTGGCAAAAAGTCTGGAAAAAGGACAGAAACTACTCCGGGGGCTCGGGGTGCCCAAGGAAGGGCGGGAGGACGTCACGGGAACACAGCTACGTTTCCCAGTGCTAGAGACCCAAACCAGGCCCTGGTTGCCTCTCTAGGAGAGGCAGCAACGCTCCTATAAACGCGGAGTGCAGAAAAGGTGACTTCTGTGCCTTCTGACTTTTCCTCCATAAAGAGGGGAGGGGGAGAGCAGAAAAGGCAACAATGCAAACAGAGTAAAAAAAGATCTGAGCCATGTATCATTCAGGCTGAATTTGTGAGGACAAACTGAATCACACAGCTCTCTGCAGCAACTGAGAATGAGAAATAAAAAGAGAGGAGAGGCAGGCATGACAATTCAAGTGAGAAAGTAAACCGACGCACCGGGGGAGGGGCAACAGGAACTCCTGAGCTTAGTTAGCAAGACAAGGCTTTCAGAAATGCATTTCCCTTAGCATTAGGGGCGGGGGGAAGCCACAGTAACGCTCGGGATCAAGCCTGGGTGG